TCTGAGGAGGGGATCTTGGGGTTGTAACTGCCATGACATGGACAGTACACGTCCTTTGTGAAGGGTTTTGTGGTGAAAGAGTCTCTATGCAATCAGGGCCCAAGGAATCCTACAGAAATCACACCACACCACAGACCTCACACAAGAGATTTATTGTGGAGATGGGGAGGGGCACAAAATGACTGCCTTTGAGTGGGCATGGAAAAAAGAGAGACTAGACCACGGTGGAGAGCTTTGTAAAGAATATGGTGCATGCACATAAGCAAAATGGTGAAGGCATTGTGGGGCTGCAGGCACTGAGTCATTGGATGCGGAGGCAGGGAGAGCCTGTTTCAGGAATGTGGGCAGTCCTTGGTTGACTAACGCTTTGATCTTAAGATATCCTCAAGAAGCTGTTGGGTCTTTTTGTCTGAGACCAAATGGGTAGAATCCCTGGCTTTCCTGAGGGTTGCCAGACACTTGACTGGGGCTAAAGTAAGCCCCTTTAAATATATGTAATGAGGGAGCTGGAGAGATGGCTCAGAGGTTAAGAGCATTGCCTGCGCTTCCAAAGGTCCTGAGTTCAATTCCCAGCAACCACATGGTGGCTCACAACCATCTGTAATGAGATCTGATGCCCTCTTCTGGCCTACAGGCATACACACAGACAGAATATTGTATACATAATAAATAAATAAATATTTAAAAATAAATAAATATATGTAATGTCTTTAACGAAAATTCAAATCCTGCATTTTAATCTATATATCATCTTTGTTTTTAAGGCCTAACAGTTTCAACTAAACGAGGTTACTTACTGATGAACCGAGAAAGCTGGTTCTCGCTCTAAAGTAGTGTTATTTGGGGGAGCCGGTCTTTCAAAAAAAAAAAAAAAGTGTCATGGAAACTTTTCTTAGTACAGATATTAAGTCATCACCTCTAATTGGTACAAATTCACCACCTGTAAAGAATTGTCCCATGTCCTCAGTCAGGGATTCTTCTATTAGAATTCTCTGAAGTCACGCTGGCCTCAAATACCTGCGAAGAGCAGGAAAAGGTGCCATAGACACGAGGCAGGGTATGTGGACCACACCTGCTCCACTGCCCGCCTCTTGAGTGGCCACCCTTACCTGCACACTGCCCTTTCGATTGCGCTGCTGCCGTTTTAGCTCTCATGAGTCTGGTTTTGCCAGTCCATTCTCACCCTGCAGAATAAACTTCCTCTGTTGACCTGCGTGATGGCTGAAGGCACTTTATGTTTGAAGTTTCCATTTAAAGCTGAAGCATGAGAAAGAATCAGGGGAGAAATTGATTGTCGAAGGGCTTTTTGCAATCCCTGCTTTGCTAAAACCGAACATTTCTCTCTCTCAGCTCCTGTTAACCTTTCTTTAGAACCAAATAAATCACTCGGTTCAGAATTTATGCGCTACACTAAGGTCTGCCGGTAAGAACGTGCCTTTCCACCAGAAGTCATTATTCAGTATGTAAGTGCGGCGTCCTCCAATAATCCTGCCTGCCTGGTGACCTCCCGCTGACCCCGTGTCCTCAAGGGGCTTATTCGGTAACAGGGTTTGTGGTTGCCCAGCTCACCTCTGCCTACCTTTGGCGGCCATGTGACTCACCAGTTGCTGTCAGCTTCTACTTGCTTTGCAGCCGGGCAAGTAAATGGCTTAGATTATGGGTTTATTGTTCTTACTGTACCCCCCGAGTCCCCTACCACCACACACACACACACACACACACACACACACACACACACACGTTCATACATAGGAGTTCCTATGTGCTGCTTAGATTCAGTTTCAGCTTTGGCAGTCTCAAGGCCCTAACATATTGATCAGGATGTCATGCCTTCTCGAGAACTGTATGCGACACTCGGACTTCCTCTGTACGAGGGCATGCAGAAGCGGCTCCCAGAGTAGACGAAACCGGAAGGGCAGTAACTCTTGATGATGGTGGATATTAGGGTTTGTTGGGCTTTTCTGGAGGGGTTTCACTGCCTTATGTCTGGGAACAAGGAACCGGACAGAGACATGTGGGTAACAGTAAAGACAGTGTATGAGAAAAAGACTTAATTTCAAGAGAGGAAGCAGGCTGGGACAGGGGAAAGGTCAGTAGCTCTAATGACTGCCATGCAGAGTAGGGCTTTTATGTCATGTGGAATGGGTTGTTTAGCTTATTTGCATACAGTGAGCTTTCTCGGGCACGGTGTGCTACATGTAGTATAGGTTCATGTATCTCATGTTGCTTCAGCATCTTAAATCTCTATCTAGCAGTCTGCATTTTAGAATTGCAATGAGCCACAGGTCACCTTCAGACACGCCGGAGGGTCCCTGTGTATGGGCCTGTGCCAGGGATTTACTTGGCATAGGGCAGGGAGTTTCTACCCTTCCCTCTTGCTGGTTGGTCTCTATCATATTCAAACTTAGCAGCTTTTGCCCAAGAGGAGCCACACTTCACTCTCTGCCCTTCCCTGCCTCCCATGAGCCCTGCTGTGAGAGATGGAGACTGTTTTTGCCCCTCTTCATCTCCTGCCCAGCTGGGAAACTTCTGCTTTCATATTTCCCCAAATTCTAAAAGCATCAGGGCTGGTCCAGGAGCCTCAGATTTGAGAAAGTGAAGTGTGCACCTTCGGGGGATTTAATTGCGTTTTCCTACGCAGTGCTGGAGAGAAGGTAGGACCTGATGCTTGTCTGCTGTGCAGTTTCAGAGGAATGGCAGGACACTCAACGCTGTCCTCTGAGTGAGAAAAGGAAAGAATGGGCAAGGGATGGCACAGACTTGGGTCATGTAACACATAGGCTCACTCTGGCAGCCGCTGGATACCTGAGAAAAGACAAGCAAGGAGAAACTTAAGGACTATGCTCATTGACAAATCTTAGGGACACAGACCTTGGCTTATTCCCCCACAGATGAAAAGATCATACCAAACAGACATGGCATAAGCTTGGCTCTTTGTACTTTACAGGTTTTTTTTTCTACTCTGTGGTGGTAAAAGTCAAGTTTAAAACTCTTTTTATCCTTAAAGGAACCTGGGTTCCTATGTGCTGTTTAGATTAAAAGAACCTTGGGTGGCCCTTTATTTTATCTGTTGACAAAGTCTGGATTCAGACCTTAGTTATGACATTGAACTAATGTGCTCAGATACTTGATATAGGAATGAATCCCAACATGGCTTTGTCTCTTTCTCTAGAGGCTCTCAATTCAGAACTAGCCCCACCTGTTTATGTATTGGTTCTGGGACAGCAGAGACCTTTGGGACATTTGTAAGAGTCGGTGTTTGTCCAGGCTTAAGAGCCTCTTACCCACTGACTGCGAAGACATCTAATAACAGTGCACAGTACCACAATCTCTATCTCTTGACATTTGGATGAGTTAGATAAGTAGAAAATGTTGCAGCTTCAGGACAACTGAAAGGAAAACTGAAGCAAAAGGTCACTTGTTCATAGTCCTGCTCTCTGAGGACAGATTACCAGTCCCCATCCTTGTTACCCTGTATCTGGCCACTCCAGGCAGCCAATGGAGTTCATCTTCAGCCCCCATCCTTGCTACCCTGTATCAAGCCACTCCAGGCAGCCAATGGAGTTCATCTTCAGTCCCCATCCTTGCTACCCTGTATCTGGCCACTCCAGGCAGCCAATGGAGTTCATCTTCAGCCCCCATCCTTGCTACCCTGTATCTGGCCACTCCAGGCAGCCAATGGAGTTCATCTTCAGTCCCCATCCTTGTTACCCTGTATCTGGCCACTCCAGGGAGCCAATGGAGTTCATCTTCAGTCCCCATCCTTGCTACCCTGTATCTGGCCACTCCAGGGAGCCAATGGAGTTCATCTTCAGCCCCCATCCTTGCTACCCTGTATCTGGCCACTCCAGGCAGCCAATGGAGTTCATCTTCAGCCCCCATCCTTGCTACCCTGTATCTGGCCACTCCAGGGAGCCAATGGAGTTCATCTTCAGTCCCCATCCTTGTTACCCTGTATCTGGCCACTCCAGGCAGCCAATGGAGTTCATCTTCAGCCCCCATCCTTGCTACCCTGTATCTGGCCACTCCAGGCAGCCAATGGAGTTCATCTTCCCAGAGCAGAACTACAGTGTTATCTGTTCTCCTTGCCTCAAATGCAAGAGCACAGAACTGAAGGTCTCAGAACCAGGAAAAGGGACCCTGCTGTGTGAAATGCAAGTCCCTTTTGGCTTCTCTTTTCCTGTGGTTCCTATGGCAGGGTTTTGAAGCATAAAACACACCAACACTTACTCCCATGCAAGCTGTGACATGATTGTTTTTTATGTGATGGCTCCCTGAGCTGACTTTCTGCACACTGCCTTTGCTCCTGCAATTGTTCATGTCCCAAAACCAGAAGGAGACCCGGAGAGATGGAACAGTGAGGTGGGACTACCATTAAAGTAGGGGCTACCAAAGATGCCCCAAGACTCTAGAGTAGGGTCTCTAGTGAGTCTAGCCCTCCACAACACAACCCTCTGCACATAACAATTCCATTACTAGCTACTTAAAGCCAAACCAATGGTCTCATGGGGAAGAGCACAAGCGAGCTGCGGTGCTTGATGTAGGTTCGTCCTGTTGATACAGATTCCATGCATGTTTCAAAATCCGAAATAGACACTGTTTATGGGTCAGGTTTTTATTTTAGGCTTCATATAAATTTTTGTTTATACTGTAATTTTTAACTTAATTTTATGTGCATTTGTGTTTTGCCTACATGTATGTCAGTGTGAGGATGTTGGGTCCCCTAGAATTGAAGTTATAGACAGTAGACAGTTGTGAGGCACGACGTGGGTGCTGGGAATTGAACCCAGGTCTTCTGGAAGAGCAGTCAGGGCTCCTAACTGCTGAGCCATGTCTCCAGCCCATGTTTACACTTTAAGAAAACCTTTAGAATGCCCACTCATTCATGAATATTTATGTTTGGCTTCATGTTATCAGTGTTCTGAATTAATCAGCCACACTGTATTTCACTAAATGCCTCGGTGACATCTTCTCCTGTTTGTCTTTGATCACACTTTTAGTACAAACATACTTTTGGACGATCAGTTCCAACCCAGACTAACAGATTTTGCCATGGCGCACTTCCGACCCCACCTTGAACATCACACTTCTACCATAAATACGACCGGCAGTGGCAGGAAGCATCTGTGGTACATGCCAGAAGAATACATCAGGCAGGGAAGACTTTCCGTGAAAACCGATGTCTACAGCTTTGGAATTGTGAGTGTCACCTACTGGTTCACAATGGAAAAGAATTCGCTGCCAAGGCAATACTAAATCCCTAGAGTGGTTTTTAACCTGTGGGTTGCAACCCCCCTGGACATTAACGACCTTTTTACAGGGATTTCATATCAGACATCCTGCATATCAGATATTTACATTATGATTCATAATAGTAGCAAAATTACAGTTGTGAAGTAGCAACAAAATAATTTTACAGTTGGGGAAGTCAACACAACATGAGGAACTGTATTAAAGGGTCTCAACCTTAGGAAGGTTGAGAACCTCTGGCTTAGAGCAAACATTTTAGGAGTTTTAACTTTTATACATATTGAGTTTTCTGTTACTCATTACCAATGCATTAACTTTCCATAATTTATAAAGCAATAAGATACAAGAGCATTAATTTGAATGACATCCATTGCCGTGTTAAACAGTTTAAACTCATGTTGTATCTGTTCTCACCTCCATGGCTGACTTTGTGTGTGTTCCTCCCAGGTGATCATGGAAGTTCTGACAGGCTGTAAAGTGGTGCTGGACGACCCCAAGCATGTCCAGCTGGTAAGAACCGCTCTCCCTCCAGCACCCGCTTGCCAATGAGCTGCCTTCCAAGAAGTAAGTTCATCTTCTCCTCTTCCTAGCGGGATCTCCTCGTGGAACTGATGGAGAAGAGGGGCCTCGATTCGTGCCTCTCCTTTCTAGACAGGAAAATACAGCCCTGTCCTCGGAACTTCTCAGCCAGGCTCTTCTTTCTGGCAGGCCAGTGTGCGGCAACTCGGGCCAAGTTAAGACCTACAATGGATGAGGTAAGATATGCAAGGTTTTGCTAAAAAATGAGCTATAGAAAATCTAAGTTAGATAAATTGTACATCTAAGTGAATTATTAACTACTGAGACAAATTCAGCCCCCCGCACAGAGAATTCTAGCCTAATAGTTAAACTTTCCAGTTTAAAATGAACACCTCACACTATTGCTACCCCTGTAAAAGTCATTGCTAGGTAGATCCTGATTATTATAAAAATATTGAATATGGAGACAGCAAAGTAGCTTAGTAGTCAAAACAATGTTTGCCATGCAAGCTTGGTGCCCTGAGTTTGATTCCTGGAACTCATGGAAAGAAAGCATTGTCCCCCAACCTTCATATGCTCTGGTCAGCACCCTCCAACCACCGTCCCTAACAATAAATCAAAAATAAATTGATATCTAATGGGAAATAGTTTGAAGGGGATATTTTATTCAACACCTATTAAGCTATCTGATTCATTAGAAAGCGCAGATTTGTTTTTATTGTTTTAAAAATGTATACATTTGTCATAGATGTAATCCATTCATTTATAAGTCAGTACTAATTCAGTGCCCATTTGGGATGTGTATTTGGGGGATACGTAGTGATCAAGACATGGTTCCTGTTCCAAACTTGCCAAGCAAAGAAGTCAGATCAATAGATATGGTACTTTGACCCTATAGACAGGCATGATGACAGTCACAATCCTAGGATGACTGGGAAGGGTGGGGTCAGAATAGAGTGAGGTCACCAGTCTGTGGCAATCAAGAGGTCCTTGCTGAAGGGGACAGCTTAGCTGCAGATTAGGTGTAGGCAGCAGTATGAATGGGAGGACATCCTTGAAAGAGGCAGTCATCATCATCCTTAGCCATAAGACTTCGGGCAGTCCAGCATCACGGAGTGAGCCAAGGTAAAGAGAGCTGGTGTGGTTAACACCGCAGACGCTTCCAGGAGATGGAGGGGCACTCACTCTGTTCTTGGAGTTGGGTTTAGTCTACTGTAGAGCTGGGGGAGATCACAACAGGAGTTGGTCTAATCACAGTGAAAGACCACTGGCCTGGGATTCAGGGAGACATAGAGGAGGCCTGACATGACTCTCAGCATTGAATCCTATTTGAGCAAGGATCCATCGGTGGTGTTGGAGGACCAAGTTGGGATCCAGGAGGTTGAAGGTACAGCTGCAAAGCTTCACCTTTCTAGAGAGTTGTATGGATTTTCTCTTGATCCTCAGCTTTACCTATACAACCAGAATAACGTCGTTTGTGGAGATGAAATACTTCCAAACATACCACTTGGCAAATGCTCCGTTATTAGGTCATCAGTTCAGATCTGACTGCATGTCCCAATCCTGTGTGAAGGTGCTTAAATACCTGGGGTCCCCAATACTTTATTATTTTTATGACTGTCTCTTGATTACAGACAAGAGATCTGTAGTTTTAGAAAGCTCCCCTTGTTGATCCTGGCATTTGAGAACTTGCTGTGCCCCATGATCATCGTCTACTTTCTGTGGTGGAAAACTCACAAAGCAGCACAGAATGAGGGGGCGGCCAGTTCATGCCTGCGGCAGCTGTCTTCATAGACTCTACTTTCTTTTATGTTGTCCCTCAAGTCACTTTATGTGGCCCTTGAAATAAAGGGGCTTCTCCAATATCTAATATCCTTTCTAACTCAAAATTTAGTGTTTGCACTTACTTTATTTTTTATTTTATTTATTTAGTTTCCTAAATGAAAACGAGAGAATACTCTTCACTAGGTAGAGAGGAAAATGTCAAAGGGAGTGTTGCTCAAGCTTCCCTCCATGTTTGCTTCCTTGCTAATCAGGTCCTGAACGCTCTGGAGAGCGCAGAGCCCAGCTTGTATTTTGCAGAAGACCCTCCCACATCTCTGAAGTCCTTCCGCTGTCCTTCCCCTCTGTTCTTGGATAACGTCCCAAGTATTCCAGTAGAAGATGATGAAAGCCAGAATATTCACCCAGGGCCTCATGAGAGAGCTCTGAGGACAGATAAAGTGACTCAGAGAACCCCTTTTGAGTGCAGTCAGTCTGAGGTGACCTTTCTGGGCTTAGACAGAAACATGAGGAATGAGAGAAGTGAAGCGGCTTGCCATATGCCCAGCTCTTCTTGTGAGGGATGTTGGCTCCCAGAGCTTGAAGCAGCATCCCAGGACTTAAGGCCTACTGAGATCACGTTGGGTTCCTCTTGGGAAGTGCCAGACCATTCTTTTAGGAGCAAGCCAATGGAGAAGAGGTACTCCTCTGGACTCTTCTGCAGTGAGTATGAACAGTCCGAAAAGCAGTAAATTCACTGGAAGATAAAAGAAAAACAAATGTCACCGAAGGCACCTGAATGAAGAATGTCACCATGAAAGGATACGAACTCCATGAGCGAGGCCCAGGGAACTACTGGTGGTGAATTTGAGTAGTGAGAATAAGCAGCCAGGCCATTCTGTTCCCTTCCATTTCCCCAAATAGAAGACTCAAAGAAATTTGTTATCAGGATGATATAGGCAGACTTTTCCGTCCTACCAGTCATTTGTAAATAACCACACAGAGACTTAATATTATAAATGCTTGACCAATAGCTCAGGCTTATTACTAGCTAACTCTCACATTTTAAATTAGCTCACAATTTTTATCTACCCTCTGCCACGTGGGGGTAATTTTTTTCAACATGACATGTTCATCTTGCTTCTCTCTGTCTGTTTGGAACTTCGGAGACACCACCCTTCTCCTTCTGTGTCTGGCTGTCCCACCTATACCACCTACCTAGCTACCAGTCAGTCGGCTCTTTCATTAAACCAATCAGAAGTTGCCTTGGCAAAGACATATCTTCACAGTGTCCAAAATGATCATTCCACAACAGGGTGGCTGCCTCTTGGTCAAACCCAAGCTAAATTAGAGCCATTCAGAGTTATTCAAGATCCTGGGTACTGACAATCAGATCCAAACAAAGAGTGGCAGCATCTTGAAGTCCCTCTGTCATCATCCCATTGAGCCCTTGGTGTTGGTAAATTGGGAACCACCCACATTCCAGAATCAGGTGTGTGCCCCCCACAACCTGCCTTCAGTGACTCAATGACAGTGGCCATATTAGAGCTAGCCTCAAATTCAACACATTTCCACTGTCACCTCGACTAGTGTGTTCTCCCTATGCACAGACGCCATACTCTTTATAAAGCGCTAGGCTTGGTGGCCCCCCTTTACTTTCCATCCTCACTCAGAGGCAGGCTTTTGTATTTCTCCCCCCGACCCCATAAATCTCTTACATGAGGTCTGTCTGATGATGTGTCCTTGTGGCATTCCTTGGTCCTCCAATCACTGCAAAAACAAAACAAAACAAAAAACAAACAAGCAAAAAGCTCACAAAATAAACTTACATGTAGTGCTGTTGTTTCTACTAGAGTTAGTCTATTGCATTCCACCGGCTTCCCCTGGTCATAGGAAATTCTGGAAACATTGTAGTAAATGTCTAATTTGCAAATATTAATGGAGGTCTTTTCACTGTGATTGACACTTACTGCTCTTTTGTTCCTCACTGGTTAACCTGCCTGTCTGGAAGAGAGTCACATTTACTCTTGCTGGGGCATGTTCTGTGTAGAGAGCGAATTCTGGTCAAGTCTACATCTCTGTATTTAAACTTTTAGAAGACTTTCTCATGTTAATTCAATTGTTATAAAAATGACATAAAAAATTACAGTATTTTGTTGTTGTTTCACTAACTCCAAGAACTACTAGGATGTGGGAAATTTTAATCCATCATTTTGGGTCCTGGGAAAAGAACCGATAACAAGGGTCTGGACCATCTGTCCTTTGACCCTGCTCTGTGCCTTCCAGGGAAGGTTTCTTCCTGTTCTGTGCCTTCCAGCGTAACCTTTCTTCCTGTTGTTCCCAGAAGCCCCTTTGGAATACCAGGCTCAAGTGTGGGCTCTACAAAGCAGCCCCCCATCCACCTCCCCTTGCCCCTTCCCCGTGACCCCCATCCTCATCTCCCTGTACCCTTCTCCCAGCCTCTCTAATCCCCCCAGCAGGAAGGACTCACTGCTTAAGTACCTGCTGCTCAGCAGGGGCTCCTCACTCTGAATGATGGCAGAGTGGCTTGTGCCACCCTGCTCTTCTGGATTATGAGATCCCCAGTCCCAGTTGTTGTTACAAATGAGCCCAAAGCTGATGGCTTAGCGCGACATCATCCCACGCCTCTCCGGGTTAGAAGGCTTGTGTGGTTCCAGGAGAGAATCTTTGCCTTGTCTCTTCTAACTTTAGAAGTCACCTGCACTCCTGCCCTGCTCCTCCCTGCTTCCCTCTCTGTCACCTCCTACCTCTTTCCCAAGGCCTTGCTCTTTACCTTTCTCTTACTCAGGACTCCCTGCTTCTTTCTTATAAAGAGCCCGGGCATTGCACTGGACCCATTTAAATGCTGATGAAAATTTCTTATTCTCAGGACTCTTAAATTATCACCTCCTCCACCCTCCTGCTCTCATGGGATGCCAGATAGGTGCAGGTTTCTGGCCTTTGGGTTTCTGACTTCTCTGGGGGCCATTCTCCCACATACTTCCTGAGTGTTAGGGGCTCTCCGTTCAGGATTTCTTTCTCCTGCACACTTCCTGAGTGTTAAGGGCTCTCTGTTCAGGATTTCTCACACTAGCCTCCACACAGCTGCTGTTTTCTTATAAGTTTAATTAAGCTATATCTACCGATCCACATAATCAAAAATCCAGCCACACTAAGTTAGCAAAGTATGTATAATGGCTGTTTTTATGGCAATGAATAGAAACACAGAAGAAGCTATTTCCGGAAGATTTACAGGATCAGTCCTTCAGAGGATTGGGCGGTGCTTTTTTTTTTTTTTCTATCTTGTGAGAGTCAGCACTGTTGGGTTTATCAGAGTCATTTTGGAGTCAAGGTTCAAGAGCAACAACTTGAAGAAAGAAGTCATCAGAAATCAGAAACAGGGCAGGTAAACAGAGAAGGTAAAAAGCGTGGAGCTACCGTTCTCTGAAAAGGTAGGAGTTGTGGTTAAAGCACACGAGAAACTTCAGTCTAATTGGCAAGCCTGAACTAGACATCAGCAAGGAAGCTGGAGGAGCTCTTGCACACGGACTGGTGCGAACAGACCTGGCTGCCCAGAGTACCCAGAGCTGTCTTCCCCGCTGACTTCTAAACTGTATGTGTGTTAAGACTATGAGCTTTAACCCTTGTGTCTTCTGCTAGTTTAGCACCCCAAAGTATTGAGAATGAAATCCTAAGCCTGCACATGCTAGACAAGCTGTCTTGCACATCCTCAGTGTAAGCTTTTATTATACACACACACACACTACTGAGCCTGGTATTACAAGTCTGCAATTGGAGCCATTCAGGAGATGGAGGCCAAAGGACTCCAAAGCTCAAGGGTAGCTGGGGACATGGCTCAGTGGTAGATCACTCACCCAGCATGTATAAGCCTCTGCTCAATCCCCGTTACTACCCACTTCTCCACAAAGAGCATCAGAAGCCTTCAGCATTTGGCTTGTATATTACAAACCATTTTGAGCCTGATTTAGCTTCCCTCGGAGAGGTATGTGAAGGCAGAGAAGCTGAACAGACACCATTAGCCTGCAAGTGTGTGAAATCAACACAACGTACGATAGAGCATTAAGAATCGACTCTGCAACAAAAATGACGCCGACTGATGTATTACTATGCCCATAGATTCTTGTTCTCTCAATTCTCCTCAGGAAAGCTTTGTCTTGCAGTAAGTGGCCATTGACATAGAGATGGACAACTGGTCGACCTGCAGAGAGCAGGAGGTTGCAGAGTGCTCAGCAATGGGACACTCATATCAGAACCTCCCTCCTGAGGCTCGGGGATCATTGTGGAGGAGGCGATGGAGAGATTGCCGGAGGCAATGAACGGCTGACTACAGGGAAACAGTGGTCCCTGCCCGTGGCAGGGCAGTTGCACATATGAACTCATGGAAGATGTGACAGCATCCACATGACTCGCAAAAAAGCTCTAAGCCAGACATAATTCCATCCCCAGCTGAAGAAACACTGGTAATAGATGGTTTCTGGAGAGGAAGGGTCAGTTTTCTTTAAGGATGTGACCCAGATCTAACAGGTCAACCAAGCTCCAGGGCAATCCTCACACCTATGAGGAGGATTTGGGCAGCACAAATCGGGTGGGTAGGAAAATGAGGGTGGATCTGCGAGGAGTTGGGGGAAGGGGTAAAGATGGTCAAAATACAAACATTTCATACAGCGTCTGAAATTTTCAAAAATGAATAAGATGTTATTTAAGAAAAAATTAACTACATTTAAGCTGCTTTTGACTCCTCACCTAGCGATGGAGCTACTGAAGAGGTTCATCAGCTATCTCCTGAATAAGTTCAGAAAGGACGCGTGAAGTTGTTTAAGAAGCAAAACCGAGCAACTTGAAATATAAGAGAGTGGGCAGCAGCTAACAGCACGGCTGAGGCTTTTGTGATTGAGTGATAGTTGGTTCTGACAGAGCCTTTGTAGATGCCGTCAAAAGTGTGCTTGCAGGTCCACGCTCCAAAGGGTTACTCATGGCTAAGTGAAGAGAGCTTTGGGGAAGATACATGTTCCAGCATAGAGCGCCCATTCTTCAGACGTATTCTCCACTATCCTTTCTCAGTTGACATGAAATGTTTAGCTTGCTGGATTCAGTAGACTCTGGGCTGAAGTTACCAATTGGAAATCAAACCTACAACAGTCCAGAAGAGCTGCAAGCTCGTACCTTCTGTGCTGCAGGTAGTGATGGGGCCTGGAATAACGCTGATGGAGCCACTGTGGGGCAGTAACAATAGGGGGAAATGAGAGCTAAGCTCCAGAGGGAAGAAACAAACCAGTTCTAAGGAGTCCTGTCTGGAGGGACCATTTTGTGAACTAAGCTACACATTGTGAGATTGTGACCTGAACACTTCCTAGCTAAAAGAATAGTACCTTCAGCTGGGCGGTGGTGGCGCATGCCTTTAGTCCCAGCACTCGGGAGGCAGAGCCAGGCGGATCTCTGTGAGTTCGAGGCCAGCCTGGTCTACAAGAGTTAGTTCCAGGACAGGAACCAAAAGCTACGGAGAAACCCTGTCTCGAACAAAAAAAAAAAAAAAAAGAATAGTACCTTCTAGTTTTAAAGAGTATAACACAGCTGCAAATTATGCTTTTTTTCTTTAATTTTTCATTTATTTTAAAATTATGCTATTTCAATAGCAAATTAACGTACCAGTGCTACTTTATAACACTATAACTTTGTAACAGCATAAGTTGAAAGGGAACTATCCCTGACACCCACCCACTGCATGTCAAGTTAAAGATGTCCTCAAGAGAGGAGTTAGGGGGACACAATTCATAAAGGCCATGCAAGTGGAACTCGTTTCAAATAGCATATAGAAGCGGGGAATCAATAAACAGTCTCTGATTATCCTGCCATGATGATAATTTCATGCCGTTCTGGGAGTGGACACAGCTAATTTCAGTGGGAATACCAGGCTATCAGATACCAGGTCTGGTCATATTTCTCTTTTATGATTTTGACTTAAGACTTCAGCCTAGAGTAAATATTAATCTCTGACCTTTTACAATTTCTATTTTATATTCCCTTCAGAAAAGATGTAAGATTGCGGCAGGGAACGGGTGTGAAGGCAGTGTGCCTGTTTCTATCATTCCCTGCTGGCGGTGCTGAGGCTGCGGATTGAGACAGGAGGCAGAGCAATCGCTGACATTTTCATTATGCGTTTGTCTCGCACTCTGAAGGCAGGAAAATAATTTCCGTGTTTACTCATAGCCTACATTGGCTATTAAATTGCATTTCCCTAATAAAAGGCAAGCACTGTCTTTTAGAAGGTCTTGCTGGTACTACCCTATCTTTCTCCCTGCCTCATACCTGTGTCCATAATCATTGGAATGAACTAAATGGCACCATTCATTGTTTCACTGAGGACCCCTGACACCTTTCTTCTCCCTCCTATTCTAAATCTTCCTTTGCTGGAGTTGAAGTTTGCATTTGTCTGCATTAGTGGTTGGCCTTTTAAGGAAATAGAACGCCTTTGCAGTAATTCCAACAGGAAATATCAACTCCCCTGGGGATGAATGACCCCTGGAGTCATTTTCACCTTTAGGGATGAAAGGCAAATTGCAGAACTAAGATCTGGGGACTGTTCTGTTGCTGAGAATGTGATGCTGATGCTTCTAGATATTTCTTCTGAGGAGGAAGCAAGGCTCGAGTCGTTCTTTATGTTGCTCCAGTCACTGTGAGGGCTCATCTCAAAGCAGAGAAAGAGCAGGCATCTCCCTCCTCTCCATGTTGGTAAAATTGGCTGACAGCTTCATGGAGGAAATGGAATTCTTTCTTAAACTACAAAAGAAAACAGTACCAGGAGTGATTGGAGTTGTGGTGTCCTGTCCTGACCCTGGAAAAAGGTCACAGACTAATTCAATTATAATCAAAGGATTTATTGATTAGCTGCTAGCAGGGTGATGGCCTTGAAGCCAGATCTCAGCACGTTATGAAGGAGGGAAACAAGAAAGGGCTTTTAAAATGCAAAACCACAAAAGACCTTCAATGTCTAAACAAGCAAGCAAAAACTGGTCTGTTCTGTCAAGTGAAGTGGTCAAGGTGACCGAAAATCATACTTGGGTGTCTGCATAAGCAAGTTACAGAAGCCAAAAAGGCAGTTGTCATATTGTAACAAGTA